CCCCCTCCCTAACCCGCAATGGGCGGGAGCCTTTGAGGCATTGGGGTAATGCTGTTTATATTGGTTGCCATTTCAAGATTTTAGATCTAAGTTAACACTGGAAGGTCTAAAGTGGTTATTTGGATCATATTCTGGATTAGTGGGTTTTGAGTTCAATGAGGGTCGAGATTTGTGTGTGGCTTGATTAACCATCACTTATTTGGCTCAGATTTAGGGATTTGATTAAGTAATATTGCCAGAATAACTCATGCCACAACATAGCAGTGTTGCAAAGTTGGTGGTGTCGTCGCTAGGAGTTAGATTTGGGGGCAAAATCTCATCACCCTCTAGAGAAGATATCAATAAGGGTATGAATGCCATCCCCCCTTCCCAAATAATAATAATAATAATAATAATAATGATGATGATGATGATGATAAGGATGATGATACAAACATACAATGAAGGGCCGAGGTTAGATTTTCTAAGCCCTCATAGCATTAGATCTAATTAGCCCCAAGGTTTCATAGGACTAGGCGACTAGCACTGTGCCAGTGCTTAGTAATGGCTTTTCTTTAAAAGCGTATTTTCTATGTTATATGCGCTTTGGTGCAATACATACAACAAAACCAACCAACATAATCCCAACTCATTTGGGGGTTGGGGGTCAAGATGTACACAATCTTACCCATATAAAACAAAGGGGGTATTTCTGTTAGACCCTTGATGCACTGCTGCACTAACCTCCCAAAACTTCATAGAAATTTTATTATTATTATTTTTGGAATAAACAATTATTCATTCATCTTTATCTCGATATGTTCTCTATATCCATTCATTAGTTTACCAATTCGTTATCATTCATGGATTAATTTGTCTAGTTTCATTACTTTTTTTTGTTTCAATATGGTCAATGGAGAGATAAGAACTGATACAGATGTCCTCTTCAAGAGAGTCAGATAATAAAAATATTTTTTGTTACTCTTTTCACGGTGTAAAAATCCATAAGTTATGACGCAATAGTTATAATTATTTTATATTTTTCTGTCTTATAATTTTATGAAGTTATGATACTTCCATCATCTGAAAGAAAAATGAGAGAAAGAAGGGACAGATTTGGCCTGGCCCAGAAGCTGACCCTTTGAGCTAGGGATGGGCGGAGTATCTCTAGGCACTTATTACATAAGGGCTTTTTGGCGCTTAAGAGCTAGGGCCATTCTGACCCTTAGTGATATCTTTATCCTCCTCACCTGTTCATATTCAATGGCCTAATTCTACGTACTTAAATGGCCCATTTATTTTGGGTTAGCCTTCAAAATTAAGTGCTTCGGACGACAGAAAAGATGCTAAAGCAAATAACATGCATGAATTCTATATGCTGTTTTTTTTCCTTCAAATCATTTGATGTGTTAATAAGTAAACATAAATGACATGAATTGTCTTTGATAATTTGCTTGCAGGTATTCTGGCAGCTTAGCAGCCATGAGTATTGTTGGCCACATGCTTGGCTTAGGAGATCGGCATTTAGATAATATTCTTATTGATTTTTGTACTGGTGACATAGTGCATATCGATTACAATGTGTGTTTTGATAAAGGGAAAAGACTAAAGATCCCCGAAATTGTGCCATTCCGCTTGACTCAGACAATTGAAGCAGCTTTAGGCATCACTGGGGTTGAGGGTACTTTTAGAGCAAACTGTGAAGCAGTTCTTGGCGTTCTGAAGAAAAACAAGGACATAATTTTGATGCTCTTGGAAGTCTTTGTTTGGGATCCCCTTGTAGATTGGACACGTGGAGATGTTCATGATGATGCAGCAATTTTTGGTGAGGAAAGAAAGGGGATGGAGCTTGCAGTAAGCTTGAGTTTATTTGCTTCCCGCATGCAAGAAATTCGTGTTCCCTTGCAGGTATTGTTTTGGGCATTATACAAGTTAGTTAATTCTTCTGTTCTTTTTATTGCTGCCGACCACTTGACCTCTGGGATATTATTGGGTACATTTCCCTCTTCCACTAGTTTAGTTGATTCTTCTGTTTTATTTCTGCTCCATCAGTTGTTCGTTATACTCTTGAATGGTCTGCAGTATGAAGTATTTTCTGGATTTCCCTTTTTTGTTCCTCTATCTAAACATACATATTTTGAAGTAATTATTTAGTGTTTCTCTGCAGTTAAAAATGAATGTTGCAGTTCTGTAGGCCCAATTCATTTTTTTTGTCCCCCCTTCATTGAATGGTCCGCATTCATTTTGAATGGTCTTATATGGTCCGCATTCATTTTTTTGTTCCCATCAAAACATGTTGTGTTGAAGTAGAGAAACAAGTCATAAATGCATATATTCATATGAAGACGATTATCTTGTTTTATGTTCCCAGGAGCATCATGATCTTTTAGTATCAACTTTACCCGCTGTCGAATCTGCTCTTGAGGTATTTAGAAGACTTTCATACATTGGTGATGCTTCCTCTTTATAAAAAAAGAATAATTTTTGATGCTGTAAATTTTTAATTATAGAGACTTTCAACCATCCTAAACCAGTATGAGATCGTCTCTGCTCTTTTCTACCACGCTGACCAAGAGAGATCTAACCTTGCTATACAAGAGACGTCTGTAAAGTCGATTGTTGCCGAAGCATCTTCCAAATCAGAAAAAATCCAAGCATCACTTCAAATGCAGGCTAGACAATTCGCACAAGCACAAGCCATGGTAGTGGAGAAAGCTCAAGAAGCTACAACCTGGATTGAGCAACATGGCAGAGTTCTTGATGCTATCAGAAGCAATTTAATCCCAGAAATTAATGCACATATAAATCTGAATGATGCAGAGCACGCCTTTTCTTTGACATCCGCCGTGCTAGCAGCTGGAGTCCCATTAACAGTTGTTCCTGAGCCCACCCTTGCTCAGTGCCAAGATATAGACAGGGAAGTTTCTCAGCTAGTTGTAGAGCTGGATCATGGATTTTCTTCAGCAGCAAGTGCTCTTCAAACATACTGCCTGGCCCTGCAAAGAATTTTGCCACTTAATTACCATACAACTAGTCCAGTGCATGATTGGTCACAGATTTTGCAGCTTGCTGCAAATGCTCTTTCTTCTGACATTTTGTCACTCAGTAGAACGCAAGCAAGCGAACTTATTGGAAAGTCACCTATGGACAAATTTGAGGCAGTTAAAATCAGATACAATGAGCTTTGTTTTAAAGTAGGACAATATGCTGCAGAAATAGGGAGACTAGAAGAAGAGTGTGCAGAGTTGGCGAGCTCCATTGGACAAGAAACTGAATCAAAGGCTAAGGAGTGTCTTTTGTCTGCCTTCTTGAAGTGCATGCAGCCCATTAGTCTTGAGAGGAAGGAAGATTCCAGTGAAGTGGGATCATTAAGTCTTAAAGAAGTACAAAATGCTGGATATCTAGAAAAGTTTGAAGTGAACAAGGCAAAACTTCCAACTATTTTAACTGTTGCAGTCTGTTCTTTATATAGTGACATCAAGCATAAGTTAGTTAGTGGCTTAACTAGTTTCACAGGAGCAGAGATTTTGCCACAGTCCAATTTGGGAGCCCTTTTCTGTGAATTTGAAGAACAGACAGAGAAATGCATGCTTATAGCTAGTTTTTTAAACGAAATGCATCGGTATATCGGCCCAGGTTTAGACTCTGCTGCCTTTCCATTTGAGGTTAACTGGGCATCAGTGTTCAAGACCAGTCTGCTTTCATGCAAAAAATTAGTCCAGGAAATGATTGAGTGTGTTTTGCCCGAAGTCATGAAAATTGTGATTATGTTCAATTCAGAAGTTATGGATGCTTTTGGCTCTATCTCTCAAATCCGCAGATCAATTGATATAGCACTTGAGCAGCTTATTGAAGTGGAAGTAGAGAAGGCTTCTTTGATTGAGCTTGAAAAAAATTACTTTGTAAAGGTTGGTGTCATCACAGAACAACAGCTAGCTCTTGAAGAAGCTGCCATCAAGAGTAGAGATCATTTATCTTGGGAAGAAGCCGATGAACTAGCGTCACAAGAGGAAGTTTGTAGAGCCCAACTAGACAAACTTCACCGGACATGGAACCAGAAGGACATGCAAACGTCATCTCTTGTGAAGAAAGAAACTAATATCAGGAGTGCTTTGGTGTCCTCTGAGGATAATTTGCAATCTCTAATTATTACGGAAGAGGATAGAAAAACACATGCCCTTAGAAGCAGAGCGCTTCTGACTCTATTATTGCAACCCTTTTCTGAGTTAGAGTCAGTGGATAAAGCATTATCTTCGCTTGGTCTACCTATTGCATCTAGTACCACTGGGATTTCTCATCTTGCAAGCTCAATGAATTCAGGAAACCTGATGTCTGGGTATATATGGAATTTTCTGGGCATAGTATCTAGCAGTAATGCTTTTTTTATATGGAAGACTTCCATGGTTGATTCTTTTCTTGACTCCTGTGCGCATTATGCTGGATTACCTGTTGCTCAAAATTTGGGATTTGACCAGCTAGTGGACGCGGTAAAGAAGATAATTGAACCACAGCTTCAGAAAGGTGTTGGGCAGTACCTTAAAGAGAGAGTCGCTCCTCTTCTTTTGGAAATGTTAGAGAAAGAAACTGAATCACTTACGAAAATGGCAGAGTCAAGCAAAGACTTTACATTTGATCAGATTAAGAATAGTTTAGAGACTATACAAGAAGTGCAAATTATGCTTGAGGAGTACTGCAATGCACACGAAACTGTCAGAGCAGCACGGTCAGCCGTTTCTCTCATGAAGAGGCAGGTGAATGAGTTAAAGGATAACCTTCTGAAGACTAGTTTGGAAATTGTTCAGATGGAATGGATGTATGATATGACTGTGAGCCCGTTGCAAAGCCACAAAATGATGTCTCATAAATTTCTTGCTAGTGGTGACAAAATAATTCCAATTCTTCTTAATATCAGCAGACCAAAATTGATCGAAAGTTTGCAATCATCCATTGCAAAGATAGCTAAATCACTAGAAGGAATACATGTGTGTGAGAGAACATTTGTCACTGCAGAAGGGCAACTAGAGAGAGCAATGGGCTGGGCTTGCGGAGGTGGGTGTACCAGTGCATCTAGTAATGCATCAGTAAAGAATCCAGGAATACCCCTTGAATTTCATGAACATCTTATTAGGCGCAGGCAGTTGTTGTCTGAAACTCGAGAAAAGGCGTCAGATGTGATGAAACTATGCATCTCTATTTTGGAATTTGAAGTGTCAAGGGATGGATTTTTTCGGGGTTCAGAAGAACTTTGTACATCAAGGATTAATTCAGATGGAAGGATCTGGGAGCAAGCTTACCTAAATTCTATAACAAATTTGGAAGATTCATTTCACTCTTTTACAAGTAATTTTTCAACATCATTCATGTGTCGCCGTGTCGGTTGAAATGAAAGTACATATATTCTTCTTGTTATGTGCAATGAATATATTCTTTTTACATATCAGGAACTGAACAAGAATTGAAACACGCACAGAGTAGTGTGGAGATTGCTTCCAGTAGTTTACTCACTGCAGCTAATGAACTCTGCATTGCTTCTGTCAAAGCAACTTCGGCATCAGGTAAAATATGGCTCTTCACTATGATCTATGCTGCATTAAAATCATTTGGAGTAGTATTTAGCCAATATTGTTGTAGCATGAAATGATGTATGCTGCATTAGATTAATTTAGTAAATTTTTAGCTAATATCATTGTAGCATCAAATCACAACCCGAACATGGACACTCTAAATCTCATAGGTGACTTTTCGGATGACACTGACTACTTGCAAAGCTGAAAATGCATGGATGCTTGTTCTCAAGAATTGTTTACACATCTTTTAACTTTATTCTTTGGTAACACTGGTACTTGTATGTTTTGAAGGAGGTCTGCAAAATACTATTCTTGCAATGAGGGATTGTGTTTATGAAGCAAGTGTTGCCCTATCGGCCTTCGGAAGTGTTTCAAGAGGGCATACTGCTATGACATCTGAATGTGGCACCATGCTCGAAGAGGTATGGTGCTTTTGATGCTATCTTTTCTCCCTTGTGGAGTGCCAGCTTTTGATGCTTTTGAATGTAGCTCCATGCTTGAATGTGGCAACATAGATTTTCATTTCAGTTTAATCCTCGTGTGTGCTGTATGTGTATATGTGTGTGCGTGTGTGTGTGCTTTGGTTCACATAACAATGTGCACTTCTCCTGAAAAGAGAGTTGATATGGTGCATTGGATTTCCGATCTAATGGCTAAGATGAAGTAAAAACTTTGAGATTTGCAAAAATTTGTGGTGGCATTATTGTAAATAAAAGGAAGTTTTTTGAAACAGAAAAAAGTGCATTGGAATGAACTAAATGGTCCAGTTCTTTTGACACTGGATTCCAATGTCGTATTATGACACCAGCCATTTGAGGCCCCCGCGGTGCTCCGTTGGACCACAAAGTTTTACTTACCCCGGCCCTGGTCTCTCCCTCCCCAAATTCGTTGTATTTAATGTAGCAAGTTGGCAAATTGGGGGGGGGGCATGGGGGTTTGGGGATAGGAATAATTTTGGGGTCCAAGAGAGCACCGTCAGGGTTCGGTGTCATGATATGACACCCGACCTTGGTGTCAAAATCTACTCAGTGTTTTTGTTTTAGGTTTATATTCTTTAGCTAACGACATGCTCCATAGTTATTATTACTTATCACGGTGCCCAGGTGAGTGTTATGTGACAAGTCATATATATAATATGATATGTATTGTAATTCATAAACTTCCAAGTCAATATATTTTTTATGGATATTATGTACAAAATACAAAACCAAAAATAAATAACAAAAAAACCATTATTAAACATCACCAGTTTTATTTTTATCAAAGCATTATTACTGAAATTATTTATTGCTCTCTAAAGCACAATTTAAACATTTAACAGTAACTTCTCAATGAAAAAAACCAATTGAATTTCTAGTTTTGCAAAACCAAGAGTAAATACTTCTTAACAAAATACTCCGTAACTAATATGAAAACAAAAATAGGAGTCGTGACTCTGAAAACGAAGAAGAATACAAGTGTCAAAGGAAAAAGATAAAAAAACAAAAGCAAATGGAAGAAAGAAGAATCAAGGGAAAACAGAGAGGGTGAGTATCTAACTAGCGGATCTGGAGAGCCAAACAGTGGCAGGTATGGAGCGGATCTTGGGTTGATTACCAAAAATCTAGCGTTGAAGTAACTGATGGGGGATGCCTTGTCGTCACTTTCACGACGCCGGACAACCCATTTCTCCTTCTGGCGAGTCGATTTAACTTGGCAGCTCCTCCCATCACCAGGACGCCTAGTGGCCTACTACATAACGTCATGATAACATAGGATAGCTATGACATTGGCTGTATTTAATTATATATGGTACTTTGTGTTTTTATTTTCTATATTTCCTCATCTATAGGTCCTAGCTGTAACAGAAGGGGTGCATGATGTTCACAGTATAGCAAAGGAGGCTGTGGCTTTGCATTCCTCCATGATGGAAGATCTGTCAAAGGTAATATTTTTTCTCGTCTATTAGATTTTATCATTCTGACCCTAGGCTTTATTCATTCAATGTTTTGTGTATTTTGAAATGGTCCCCACCCAAAAGATTTCATTTGCTCTTATGTGATTATACTATCCATCCACAGATGCTTTTTCTCTTTAACTGGTCTAATTGTTCTTTTGGAATACAATTGATAAGAATCAATCATGACAATAGATTATGTAGGAATCCCTGTATACGAACCAAGAACATTGTGCCATGACTAGGCGAATACTATTTTTTTAAAGACTAGTTGAATGCTATAAATATACTCCCTCTGTCCCATAGTTATCTTTACTTTACGCAAAACAAAGTGAACTTTTAAGTTTTTTCAATTCCTTTTATTTGAAGATTGGTATATAAATAAAAAAAATAAAACTTACATATTTAAAAACTAAATCGAAAGTTCTACAAAGCAAGTGGTGACAAGAATATTTTATTTTATCAAATAATCAATGAAAACATACAAATAAGCAAAAGTTACCATGATTTTGGAATTGGAATAGTGAAGGAAGATAATTCCGGGACAGAGGAAGTACATATTTGCGAGATTACATACAATTTCTCCAAGGTATCTACTCTGTACACAACCACGTAGTTCCTAAGGTAGTTATGGAAAAACCATAGTTGAATTGATTTTTTCCAACTTGAAGGCGCTATCAAACTTAACACACTGGTTTTGCAATAATATCAAACTAGAGGCGAGAAGGAGAACGATCTTTGGGGTAGTAGGAAGCTAGCCACTACTATTTTCTTTTCTTTTTTTTGGGGGGTGGGGTACATCAAGCCCTCAAAAAGATCACATCAAAACAATGTCCTGTCTAATTATACCCAAAAGCTCCAAGCAGGATATTGTATATATAAAATCTTATAGAATAGATGAGAGTCCTAATCTTAGCTACCACATTAGTAGTGGGTGTAGTGCTCACACTCACTGAGTACATATAGATAGCATTCAGAGTTTTCCAAAGTGTGTAGATCACTAGAGCGTAGAGCAAAATGCCACACAGCCCGCTTTGCTCTTTAAACATGCTACACCATAATCTTTGCATATTTATCTGATTATGCTTCTCAAAGTAATCATCTCCCGTTTCAAAGGCCATGTACGAATATTCTTACACACAGTACCTGAATATGAACATTGACACAACAGATTGGCAACCTGTTACGGAAACCAATCCAGGCAATAGAAGAGAATTTTTGAGTTATACACTGATTCCCTTTTTCATTTATATTCTCAGAGCTTTTTTTTTCAATCAATTCAGGTCTGTACTATTTTACTTCCACTTGAAACTCTGCTATCGAAGGATGCTACTGCCCTGTCTGAAGCAATGGCAAAGGAGAAAGAGACAAATGCAGAGATATCACCAGTCCATGGACAAGCAATATTCCAGTCTTACCACTCAAAAATCCAGGAAACTTATCAATCATTTAAGCCTTTGGTTCCTTTTGTTACATCATCTGTCAAAGGACTTCTATCCATGCTCACCAAGCTAGCACAATCTGCAAGTCTACATGCAGGAAACCTTCACAAAGTAATTGGCTAAACTCCCCTTAAAATGTGTTATGTGTGTTTTGATTTTCAACAAGGATCTAATCTTGTGCTACTTCATTACTTTCAGGCTCTTGAAGGATTAGGAGAAATCCAGGAAATCAGTTCAGATGATCTTAATCCATTACATCCTGATATATTTAATCTTGATAACAATTACAACATGAAAAATGAGATTTCTGGAAGTGACGGAGAGACAGGTGAAATTTTTATTGATGTGAGCCGACTTTCGTTGAACGAAAAAGGTTGGATATCCCCCCCTGAAAGCATAGCCAGTGGCAGCTCAAATTCTGGGGTCACATCATCTCAGACAAGTCTAACAGATAATTCAAGCGGCCCAGATATCATCGAACCAATTCGTCATAGTGTTGGTGGCATGGAGGAGCATTCTCATCTGTCCCCTTCTGCTGGAATTCCTTTTCCAAAACTCTCATCTTCTGAACCACCAATATCTCAAAATATACAGGTTGGAGGCCCTGGCTAGAATATTATGTAACAAACAATAGCTTGCTTACTTACATTTTATGTTTTTCTGAAACAGGAAATTTCTGGATTGAAATTGTTTCCAAAACTTGAAGCATTGCCATCTAGCCAAGTAAAGGGTGAGGGCACTAATGAACCTGTGTTTACAAATGCTGGAGCCTCTAGTCGGACCAGAGGTGATTTTCGAAATTTGTGTATTGTGGTAGTATTTCGTGTTTTTTTCTCTAAACTTGCAGTGATAGAGTATCCTTGCACTTTCTGTTCATTGACTCCCATCACCGTTACCCTTGCCTCTAAAAAAAGAGTAGACAATCTTCTCAATTCTTGATGTTTTTACGCCTTGTAACATTGTTCTACATGTATAATTTGTTTTTCAAGGGAAAAATCATTATGCTGTGTCAATTTTGAAGCGAATGGAGATGAAATTAGATGGTCGAGATATTGTAGATGACAGGTATAAATGTACTCTGTATAATGTTTTTCAGTTATTCAGATCACTCTTTTGTAAGACTTGTTGCAATTGTTTTACTTATGTACTTGTTTTGGGGCTGTCAGAGAGTTAACTGTGGGCGATCAAGTGGATTATTTGCTCAAGCAGGCAACCAGTATAGATAATCTTTGCAATATGTATGAGGGATGGACACCTTGGATCTGAAAGGTCTTTTAGAATTCTTCACCATCTGCAGAACTGCTTTGTTCAAGAAGTTTGGGGGCAGGGGGTCTGTTCGGGACTCTTAGAAGTACCTGGAGCGCTCGCCTATACGCATGATATGATAATGACCTCTTTGCCAAAATCTCCCCCCCCCCCTCCCCGCGGGACTCATGAGCACTTGCCTATATGCTCGGAATAACTCAATTTTGAAAGCGGTAAAAATAATATGTTGAGAGATTCTTTCCCTGCTTCATGATCTCGGCTCAAGCATGCACTGGCTTTGCTTCATGATATCTCCCCGAAGGCAGTTAAAGGGATTGACACATTCTGCATCAACACATTGAGAAGTGAGTTTTCCATTTTTGCATAATTCATCTGTTTACATTTTTTTATTAGTATTTTTTCTTAAAAAATTGAGTATTATCACAAAGGATTTATCATATACATGGCAATAACTCCACCAAGTTATTGCATAGAGGGTCCAAAACTTCACAGTAGGGCCCCTTAAGTTTTGAAGCATTATGGACCTTCCGTGCATGAACTATACCATTGAGTTATTTTAGAAGATCCATATCCATATATGGTAGTGAATAATGCTTGATTGTGCTTCTATGCAGATGATTGTCTTCTTGCTGTGAGGACAACGTTGATGCCTATAAAGAAAAGAGCATTTTTATCACTTGCTTAGGATGGCAAACAAGTTGGTTGGTTCTTATATGCACTACTGCCAAAAGCATGAATTAATTTTCCCTGTAACTGAACGAACTAGCTCCTTTGTGGCACATACTGTAAGTAATTGATGGCGGACATGCCGAAAATGAACCCCTACATATTGATGAGTAAATTTCACTTTCCTCCACATCTAATATAGTGTTGTTTTCGTATTTAGTTCAGATCTTTTATTTTTATTAACTTTGATGGTCTTGACTTGATGCTAGTGCCAAATTCAGTCATTCATTGGCGATCGTTCAAGTACAAAGGTAAAAATTGAGATTTACCTTGTCTTTTCTTTCCCAAACCACGCATGTTATTTTTTTTCCTTTAATAATTTTGATTTGATGGTATTGCTAAATTCAGTCATTCTTTAGCAATCATTCAAGTATCAAAGGTAGAAATGAGATTTACCTTGTCTTTTCTTCCCAAATTTGGAAGCTCAACTGATCTGGAAACTGTAGAGTTTAAAATCAATACTTTATCTTTCTTTGAAAAGATCATCCACCATTGTACAACTGTTGTCTTATCACTTTTAACTTTAAGGCGCCCATATTAGTCATAGATTCTGAGTATACATTATAAGTATCATCATCATCATCATCATCATCATTGTCGTTTGAAATTTTATTAGCATTTGAAGAATGAAACAGTCAAGTTTTCAACAATCTTACCTCTTTTTTTCTGGGTGGGTTTACAATGCCTTTTATGACACAAAAGTCCCATACCAAACATGAAATGGTTGGACTAGGAAAAAATCTTGGGATTTTAGTATTGCATCCCCTCTACTCTATCTGCGAACTGCTACTGTGTGTCCAAATATATATAAATATATGTATGGTAGTATTATGTACGTATGTGACTGTAAAATGGTCTGTCTGATCTTCCATTTCCTGTTTACTGCTTCGCCGGCTGAACTATTCTCCAAACTTTAACAGATTTATCCAAACTCCCACTGTACACGCTCCACCGCTGCTCCCCGGCGTCTTTGCCATTCTCCGCTTCAACGGCCAAGCACTTCACGGGCCCACTGTGACCGTTCAACACTGACATGCACACGTGGACCGCCCCCTCCTCTCTCCTCCACACGCAGATGCTATTGTCAGCGGAACCGCTGAGCACCAGGTTCGCCACGGCTGCGAGGCAGAGCACGCCCAGCTTGTGACCCCTGAGAACCCCTCCGTAAGTCATGAAGCTCTTCTCCCTCTCCCAGAAGTTGACCAGCCCGTCGGATGACCCCGCGTAGACCATCGCTGCCGAGATGTTCACGGCGAGGGAGGTCACCGCGTTGTCCTGCTTCAGCACCGTGTCTACCAGCACGTGCTTCGTCGCCGTGGGCGTCTTCACGCCGGCGGACGACATCTCCCTCCTCCAAGCCTTCACGGTTCCGTCGGCCGATCCGGTGAAGATCAGGCTGTCGAAGCCGACGACCAATGCGTTGATCGCGTCATCGTGGGCGTTGACTGATTCGACGCATTTGTTCTCGGATAGTTTCCAGACCTTGATGGTCTTGTCCCATGAGCCGGAGTAGAGCAGCCCTTGTTCCTCGTCCAAGCTCATGCACGAGACGGCGTCGTGGTGTTTGATCCGCGGGGCATTCTTGTTTTTCTTGTTGATCTCGACGTAGGATTTGGGGTTCATGGAACTTTTGAGGGAGTCTCTCGTGGTGGGGAGGCTTCCCAGGCGTTTGTAGGTCTTCTTCTTCTGGTCGGCGAATTTCCAGACGCGGATTTTGCCGTCCTGATGGCCGGTGAAGATCTTGTCGTCCCCCAAGATGACGATGGACTTGACCAGGCCGCTGTTCGACTTGAAGCTGGAGTACTCCTTGGTGTCCTTCCAGACCCGGATGTTCTTGCTGTCGGATCCGGTGTAGAGGAGGTCGCCGGAAGCGGCCAAGGAGTATATGTGGCCCTCTTCACGGATGAGGGAGCCGACGAGGGAGGTTTCCCGGACATCCGCGGTCGAGGCCGTCTCGGCGGCGGCGGCGTGCTCGTGGGTCCACGGGGAGGAACCGGCGGGGAGCTGGTTCCACGGGGACAAGGCGGAGGGGGAGGCGGAGCCGCCTTGGAGACTAGCGGCGGCTGCAGCCATCTTCGTTGCTCTTGTTATGTTTCAATCGACGGCGACTGAGATTGTACGGAACGTCGTCGGATAATCCGAGGGGGCGGGGGCATGTAGGGGGAGATGATATATGTTCTAATGGCGTTTGAAACGAGAGAGAGTAGCTAAAGGGGCATTTTGTGGTCCTCTCACTTTCCCCGCCAACAATGTTGCCCCATTCATTTTTTAAGGGGTGGGATATTAACATTCATTCATATTTTAACAACAAAAATAAAGTTTTCAGAATTGATATTCACACTCAAAAACTTAAAAGGGTGCATTTTACGTAAATACTCCCTCGGTCTCAAATTATTTGCCACATTTGTATTCCCGAGGCAAAATATCAAGTTTTTTCAATACATTTTATTTACATATTGGTATAAAAATAAAATTTATATATAAAAAAACTACGGAGTACATGAAAAGTTCTTCGAAATAAGAGGTGTCAAGAATATTTTATTTTATCAAATAACTAATGAAAACGTCGAAATAAACAAAAGTTCTCGCGACTGCTGAAAAAGCAAATGTGGTGAATATTTAGGGACGGAGGGAGTAGAAAACATTACTAAAAAGACTATACTGTCCTTATTTGTAAAAACAAGGTTGGCAACAATATTGTATAGTCCCGTATGCACTATAAATCAGGATTACTGCCTTCAATCCCTCCTCATATGCATTATAAGGAGAGTACAAAAATAGTTCCATATTTTTATTCTCTAAATAAGTGTTTGCATTGTGATAATGTAACACTATACATAAATATTTTACTATATTTTTTGATAATGCGGATAGTCATGATTATCACTGTAAATACATTTTAAGTCCTATTTTGGAAATAAAAGCATAGAATATATTTTTAATATTTTAATTCAACGTTAATCTTTTTCTCTAAATCTATCAAAATCTATATTTTATAAGAGTGTTTGAAAATCTACCAACTTTTGAATACCATTGGATTTAGAGTGATATTTTAAAATATGAATTGAATACATCAAATTTTTTAATAACTCTATAACTCTGAATTAAATATCTTCATATTTTAAATAACTTTTTAATATATCAATTGAATAACGCTAACTTTTAAAATTTAAAAAAAAAATCTTACAAACTCCTGATTGAATACACTTCTAAATCTACTGGCTTCATCGAAATTTGCTAAATCTACTCACACTCTTAAAATGTTGACATTTGCCATCTAGAGAGTGCATATAGCAAATTTGGAAGGAAAGAGTGGATTAAGTCATTTAAGGGTGGATTTTGTCATACCCATTCACAAACTGCAGAATTCTAGCAGGGTAAAAATAAATAAATAACCATTTATCAATATCTGGTACAAAAAAAAACACAGAAAACGAAGTAGAAAAAAAAAATCATCCACACCCATAACTTACATCAGGTGTTGCAACAGCAGACTGAAATGGAACTTCAACCCTTTCCCTCACCACACATCGAACTTCTCCATTTTCAACCACCTCTACCTTCCCCGGCGGGCATTCCATTTTTCTTTCATTTTCATCAACCCCGGGCGGCGTCGATAGGTTCATCAACTTGAAGTGGGCATTCCTTTTCTTAAGACTGGGCTCAAAACCAGCAAGTGTCAACACAGAGATTACCCCCAAAACAGTGATTGCTGTCTTTGCCACTCCCCCAATGAGATATTTTGCCATTTCCAACGGACTCTTTTTGGCCTTTGCTTGGTTTGATGGTCCATTGACATCTTTCCTCGATGCGTTTCTTTCACCTGACGTGTTGAAATGGGAAATGTGAGTCTTGTTTGGGGGTAGCAGGAAAGATGATGGTCGGGTTGGGTACGGTGGGAGCAAGAGGTCGTTGTTTTCTTCTACTGTTTCGCCAACAAAAGCAATTGCCTCCTGTATGACATCCAAGTTCTCCCCTTTGTACTCCTTCAGCTTCTGCATCAACTCCTCTTGGGAGTAGAAAATTCCAGACAGGGCTTCTTCTCTCTCGTATAACTGTTGCTGCTGCAGTGCCTGAATGAAATGCAAAGCACAAACACTCACCAACAACATTAGTCATGATAGATAAATTCGAAATATGCTAAGATATTATTATGAATCATATCATAGCATTTCAATACAACATCAAGCAAAAACAGTATAATCCCAAAAAAAGAAATGGAGTGTTACTGTTTACCAAAAATATGATAGTTTAAGGTGTGTGGAAGCACCTAGTCTGCCTGCCTTATGCAGTGATGCACTTTGCCTAAAGAACACCAAATGTGAACTTTGTGCAACTACCTAGGGGCACCTAATGTCTAGGGGGCTGATTGTTGCAGCACCAATCGGGGTATGTTTCTAAACAAAACTACTATAAACATTCTAGGAGTACGAGGTAAGACAACTTGCCAGTCAGGTGCATGTTTGGTTGGAGGGGAGGAAAATGGAAGGACGGTGATCAAAAGTTTTCCAAAAAAAAAACGAACACTAATTATCACCATTCCTTTCACTTTCCTCTCTTCGAACTAAACTAAGCACACCCTTAAAATAGTAAACAACATTCCCATTGCCACCAAGGAAGTGACAGAGAACTGTCAAGAGCATTCATCTATGGCTGTCTGCGACGGGCAACCAAGGGTGTGAAGGCATGTCGGAGAGCAGATCCCATGTCCCAAAATGTTATCTCACCCTCATGTCTCACTCTCCCGATCCTACCACATAGCACCACAATGAAGTGGGGCCACATTTTTGTGCTATGTGTCAGCATCCGAAGAGCGGGACACATTTTTGGGACACCAGAAACCCTAGGTTAGACATTTTTGGAATTGCTAACTGGTTGATTGACTATGGATAGAGATTCATTACGGTTAACAGAACACAACAGATTAGAACTCCAACAATTCAATTCAGTCAAAAACCCTAGGTTAGACATTCTTCCACATAACTCCAAGAAAATACCAGCAAAAAAACAAAAAAATCAAATTTTTCAAGGAAAAAACACGCAGTATCAGGTAGAAATCAATGGATTCGGGTGGGTGGAATTAAATATACAAAAACAAAAAAATCAAATTTTTTTAGAGCAGAGCAGAGTATGAAGCAGGAGAGAAACCACCTGCAAAGACGAGACTTGAAGTTCGAGCTTCCGAAGAGCCTCTCGGATGGCTAAAAGGCAATCCGTGGCTTCATCGGAACCGTCGACTTCGGCCTCCATGTCTGCGTCGTCGAAGCCGTGTTTCCCAGTTTCCCGCCTTCCATTTGTTCTTCCGGCGGCGATGCAATTTGTGGTCTTGGAACTCAGCTCAGAAATTCTAGCCAACACCAGCGCTATTCTATCTTCATCCATCTCTGTAGCTCCCTCTCCACTTTGGAGCTTCATTTTCAGGTGTGCGGCCTTTGAGACACTTTTCAATATTTGTTCATTTTTTATTTTTTTTGCCGTAAAATTTGATAAAATTTGATTATTAATTATATTAAAATTATCACGGAGTATTAAACATTGATATAACCATAATTTTATTTAACTTATCTTGTAAAATGTTTATAAAACATTATTTTATGTAACTAATAAACCATATAATTTTTAAACATGATACGCGTATTATATCTATGTATGTGTATGATTTTTAAAAATACTTTTAAATTTATATATATTTAATGTTTTAAAATTTAATTGCGTATAATACGTATCGAATAAATATTTCACTATAACTTTTTGGTAGGACAACACATTAACTTTTCAACAAACATTTAAACCAAATAAAATTCGGACTACTTCGCATCAATTGCTTATATAATAACTTAATTATCGTCAAAAAAAATTATGGTTACACTTATCCCAAATTTTATTTTTATTATAATAATATTAAATTTTAACTGCTAAATTAATTAATATCAAAATATATATTCTTTCCATCTCGTTAACAACTTCATATGGTAAATAAAAATATTTCTAGAGAAATAAGTAAACCTATAAAGATTGATGCGAAGTGGTCAATGGGAATTTTTGTGTGTATGACCTCACTGTACATATGGCACATGATAAAAATAATGATATCATTTGATCCATTTATTGCCCTACCTAATACAATCACTTTGTTGTTATTTGTCCAAAATAGACTTTACTCATTCTCATTTTATCCGTCGTTAAAATTTTACTTTTTTTAAAAGAAGGATTAGAAGTTTCACAACTTTTTTCTCTTCTTTAAAATAAATTCAAACTACATTTTTTAATTTTCAACACTCTTCCCAGACTCTACAAATGTTAAACAAAAAAGTTTTTTCTTAGACTTAGGGAGAGTATATATTATCAAATAAAAACTAAATAAAAAGAGAATCAAATTTTTTAAACTCTATTGTGAAGTTTCATTAAAAAAATTATTATTTATATTTGTGTATTTACATTAGATACTTTGTTTATATATACCCCGGAGTATGTAATTATCTGCATATAATAAAGCGTATTTTCAAAACACAAAAAATTTAGAACATGTACATATTCATATCTCGAACATTTAAAATATATAATAAACTGTATTTTATAAAATGTAATGTGTTATACACAAAATATGTTTATATGTATTTCCATATTATACATAGACATATTTATTGCGTATAAATTATATACTCCCTCCGTCCGGAAATTTTCTTTCCGTGTTGACTTGGCACGCTTATTAAGGAATAGTAAAAAAAATGCAAAATTTTTAAAAATGCATAAACTATAAACTTTTAAATCTTCTTTTTTATTAAAAAAACATTAAAAAAGTAGATTTGTGATAAAATAGAAGGGTATTATTGATATTTAGCCTTAAAAAGCATACTAAAAAAAGAAATGTGAAGATTATTTTCGGACGGACCAAAAAGGAAAATGGGAAGAATATTTCGGGACGGAGGGAATAAATCAAATATCTTATTTTAGTTAAATGCAAAACTCAAGAAATTAAAGTATTGGGAGGCATTATGCAATGAAATTACTGAAAGGAGACGGCCTTCTCGTATGTGCACCTTCCTCTCCAGATCGAACTTTGGGTCAATGGCGAATTGGACTCTGATCACAATCACTACGCTACTGCTCGCCCTTGTGCTGCGGCTCGCTGCAGCCGTGCTCAGTGGGCGGAGGAACAGGAAAAAAGCCGTCGGAATCTTCCACCCTTACACCAATGACGGTGGCGGCGGAGAGCGAGTCCTCTGGTGTGCCGTCAAGGCTATCCAAGACGAGTACCCCGATCTCCGCTGTGTTATTTACACCGGAGACCACGATGCTTCTCCCGAAAGTCTCCACGCTCGCGCCTTTGGTCGATTCGGTGTCGAATTGCTCAATCATCCTCAGGTATTTGGAGAATTAGTAGAGCATGAAATGTGATAATTTGAAAATTACTCGGTATTAATTTTAGTAGTATTGCTTTTAGGATTGCAATGTGTGATCTATACCTATCGAGTATTGAATGTTTATTGGCAAATGTGAAGGAGGAGCTTCAATGCCATAAACTGATGTAGCACACTGGTTTCGGGCTCCAAGAGGGGCTTAAAAATACAACCTTTCAACTAGAATTTTGCTCATTTCATGTAATTTTTGGACGGAAATCATATCCGGAATAGCATAACATGTTTCTGAAAAAAGTGAATTCTTGAATACAGATGAATCTGGGTTTCCTTTCCGTGAAGAACTCACATATGAATACTGACATGTTTCATCTTAACCAAGATCACCAAGAAGAAATTAACAAGGCCATAAATGTTCGTGTAAAGATTGATTTGCACATGAGTATAGCGTCATCAGTTATACACCTTAGCTCCTTGGCCTTTTTATTTTAAATTTGTATCTTCTTTTAAAGTGCATTATCGAACAGCTTCTTTTTAGCTGATCTTTTTTTGGATGTATTTAATGAGTGATTAATGACATACTCATATATTGCATGTTATTGACATCTTGCAGTCTTATGTTAGGTGGTCCATCTATATAAGAGAAAATGGATCGAAGAGACCATGTATCCTCGATTCACAATGATTGGTCAAAGCCTTGGTTCTGTCTATCTTTCATGGGAAGCTCTCTCCAAGTTTACACCTCTATACTATTTAGATACAAGCGGATATGCTTTTACTTATCCAGTTGCCCGGACCTTTGGATGCAAAGTAATGTGCTATACACATTACCCCACAATCAGCTTGGACATGCTGTCGCGCGTTCATTCTCGGAATTCTATGTACAATAATGATGCCTTGATTGCTAAGAGGTACCTTTTGGGCTTCATATATGTTTTTTTAACTTTTTTATGTGTGGTAAATGATCAACTTTCCGATCTGTCAATTTTTAGGCACCTGATTTTAACAGATTTAAATATCATGATCTCTTCCGCTAACTGATCTAACATATGATACTACCAATGTTATTTTCCTACAGTGGCTTATTGTCGCGGTGCAAAGTTATTTATTATACAATTTTTAGCTGGATGTATGGTTTTGTTGGTTCATGGTCACATCTAGCAATGGTGAATTCCTCGTGGACTCAATCTCATATTGAGAAGCTCTGGGGAATAGCATCTCGTACTAGGAGGGTATATCCTCCTTGTGATACTTCAAGGCTTCAGGTTTACATATTTGTCCTTGTGCTTACCTACTCAGTTTTTTTTGTTTTTACTCCTTCCGTCCAAAAACAACTCTTTCCTGTTTTGTCTGTCCCAGAATAAATTTCAGACTTTATCAATTTCATTTTAGTGACTCACAATATTTCACTCTCCTCCAAAGAAATTTCAACCGCGGACTTTTCACTCTCATTCCTTTTCTTGAACTATGTGATAGTCAAACTAGAAAGTTTTTTATGGGATGGAAGGTAACTCTTTGTGCATTGACTTATTTAGTTTCATACAGGAGCTCCCTCTTGAAAGGCCAATGGAGCGTCCTACGATTATATCTGTAGCTCAATTTCGTCCTGAAAAGGTGGGCGTTCTTATATGACAAAATTAATATGAAATGAGGGTATCTTCCCCTCGAGTTGCATTTTACTATTTGAGGCATGAAAACACAGTTAAAGTCATGTTTAATTGGCTTTCTGTGCACCAGTCCCACCCTCTCCAATTGAAGGCTTTGGCTCTTTCCATAAAAAAGTTAGAACCAAACCTACCGAGGCCCAAGCTCCAACTTGTTGGTAGTTGTAGAAACGAAGCAGATGAGAATAGACTTCAAAAGTTGAAGGACATGGCAAAAGAGCTAAAAGTTGAAAATGATGTGGAATTCCACAAGAACGTAGCGTACAGGTTTATATCATTTCTTCGTGTATTGTGCTAATGATTGCTTTCTAGTACTTGTATGACTACCAAAATGGTAAAATTGCGATATATACTTTCCGTGTCTTTCTAGATGGTCAGCAGTTGTGGTGTTTAAGATCTATTCAGCTATCTTTTGTTGATAACTTTCTATTCTCTCTATGCTTTAAATCACATTTATTAGTTGATTATCTTGCCTAAACCTGGTGGTAGCAATTTCAACTTTATGTCTGGGGGTGATGCAGTGATCTTGTGAGGCTTTTAGGCTGTGCCGTTGCTGGTATACATACGATGATAGATGAGCACTTTGGCATATGCGTTGTGGAGTACATGGCTGCCGGAGCCATACCAATCGGTCGGTTCTTATTTTCAAAGTCCCTCAAGCATTTCTTCATTCGCGATGCTTATAAAACCCAACTTTAACCGTTTTCACATCCTTCTCTCAGCTCATAATTCTGCTGGCCCCAAGATGGACATTGTATTACCCCAAGATGGAAAGCAGACTGGATTTCTGGCGCAAGATGTGGAAGAATATGCCGGTGCCATTGTTGAAGTCATAAAGATGTCTGGTGCCCAGAGGATGGAGATGGCTGCAGCTGCAAGGAGGCGAGCTTCGTTGTTCTCTGAACAAAGATTTTATGACGATTTTAAAGCCGCGGTTCGACCAATCTTGTCTCATGGGAGGTCCTAGTGATGATCTGACTATTGTTCCTAGGAGTTTGGAAACAAACATTTCATGTCTACATACTTGCACCTAGTGCAAAAAAACATTATGCTAAAGATTTCAGAACTCTCTAACATGGTGGTGCTTCCATTTCACAATATTAACAGTCATCATATGCTAGGTTGAAAAAGGATTTATGCATTTTGCATACATAATATGGTTCTATTATAGATGAACATGATGTACATAGGGTATAATAAATGGTTCTACTAACGCAGCCGGGCTTTTGGGAAGTTTCTCCATTAAACTTTGTAATTTGCTTCATTAATTTTTTTCAGTAATGCTAGGTTCACACACAAAATGCTCATAATTTTCACAAAATTTACTTTTATTGTTTAAATTCCTATTTTAAAGTTATTCTAGACTATTTTGTTTTTTTAATTGAAGTTTACAAATAGTAAGACCTTGTTCTCCTCAACTTATTTTTTTACTTATTATTTATTATTATTAGAACCAGATCAAATAAAAAATAACTTTAAATATAACTAATTCAGACTAGATTAGAATTTATTCCTATCAAATCAGGTGAAGAGAATATGAACTAAGTTTGTGAGATTTGTGATCATTTTTTTTGTGAACCAAGTATTTCCCCTTTTTATGAGAAGATTCATCAATTATTATGGTTGAGAAAAGTATTTGACAAATGTTAGAGTCATAAACAATTTGGACACAAATTTTACAAATAATTTGGACACAAACTTTCTTTGTGTATTTAAATTTTTATTTTTAAATAAATTAAAATCATTTTATTCACTTAGAAAAGTGTACAATTAGTAAGTTTGTATCCAAGTTATTTGTGACTCTAGCTCAAAGTATTCTGATTTTTTTAAAAATAATTTTGTGACTATATTTTGTTTTTTTACCTCCGTTTTCATACCAACACAATCGATAGTGATCGGTAAAAATGAAGCGGCGCGTGTTATTCCAGCTCGTCCGGTGGAGGTCATTCCGGTCAAATCATTCTCCAACGGAATTCCCAACTGACTGCCCGTGCGGTCCGTTTTCTTCCCGCCATTAAATCTCTGTATTAAATCCCTTTCCTCCCACAACCAATCTCCTCACTCTGCACACATTCATCATTCTCTGATTTCTCTCAATCACGCGAAGCTTCTCTTTCTCTCTCTAGAAGAACCGCCATGGCCGCCGGTGCTCTGCAACTGCAGATTCTCCTCGTCTTACTCATTCTCATCTCGCTCTTCATCTCCGGAGCTACGACGGACGCCGTTTCCCGTTCAGATTCATCGTTATCTCCGGCGTTTGCACCGTCGCCGGAGCAGTACTCGTACGACGCTCAACTTTATGCGCCTCCTGTCTTCGCGAACATTCTGCGTGCTCTAGGTTTCGAGGAGCTGTCCGCTGCTGCCGCCAGCGCTAATCTCTCAACCGGCGCTCCGATCACCATCTTCGCCCCGGCTGATTCATCGATTCTCACATGCCACTCGTGCGTTCTGCGGCTGCTTCTACACGAGCACTCTGTTCCTGGACTCTATCCGCTCGAATTCCTTCGGAGGTTGGCGTCTGGTACTAAGATCCAGACTCTCGCCGACAACCGATGCCTTACCATCACCACTTCCGCCTCCGTGATTCGGGATCAAGCGACGGTTTTCATCAATGGCGCGATGATCACTCAGCCAGATCTGTTCTACAATGGCGTCATCGTGATTCACGGCATTCAAGGCTTCGTGACTCATCTATCGCCGATGTCGTGCAGTATGGAGCACACCAATTCTCTCTCGTTTCCTCCACAGCCGTCATCGGTTTCTTCATCGGAAACGAAGAAATCTATCATGCCTCTGATGCTGAAAGACGCCATCATCCGATTGGATAACAGTCACCACAGAATCGTAGCCTTGGCGATGCGAGTGAAATTCGCAGAGCTCTCAAAGCTCAAATCCATGACTGTCTTCGCCTTGGAAGACTCCCATCTCCTGGCCGGTAACGGATTTCTGTATCTCTCTAATTTTCATTTTCACGTGGTGCCGAACCGGAGGATCCTTTCCTCTGAGATGTTGAGCCTGCCGCAGGGAAGCATGTTGCCGACTATGGATCCTCAGCACAGTCTGGTGTTGACCACCGCCGGCGAAGGAGGCAGAGTCAAGCCAATGAGAATCAACTACATAACCATTCCGAGTCTAGATCTGATGCACAACAGCAGAATTGTGATCCATGGGGTGTCTTCACCATTCCCCCACATGTTCAAGCACATGGACAATGGAGATGATTTTGGGGAGATGGAACAGTCGTCGAAGTGTGATTTCACATTGGAAGGTGGTGACATCTGCGACGACGTAGATCCACCAACGCCGGCCGGCATGCCATCAACGGTGGAAAGCGACATGGCCTCCATGTGAAATCCCATTTCTGCTTTGTTTCTGTTTGAGCATTGAGTCAATCATTATATTGACTGTATGGCTATATGGTTGATGTTGCTTTGTGTGACTTTGTTTGACTTGTACCTTCTCATACAAGTCCATTTTCAGGGCAGTTACATAAGTCTGTAAAAGTTTGTTCTCCATTAGCACTAGCCATTTATCTTTGGGTTCTCGCAAAAATATCCACATCTTTTAAGGCAACCAATTGTCATCTTGCAGAGAAGTTTAGTAGCTAAATGTTGTACACTCTCTAAGATTACTGGGGAAGATGGGGAAGTTGAGCCACGTTTGAGTCCTAACAAAAGTGATAGTATTGATTCAATGTGCATCATTCGATTAAGAAAATATGAAAAGATATCAAATTATAATTAATCGAATTAATAACAGTAAATGTTTACTCTTGTAAACATTATGTAATATTTAGGCGACAAATTTGAGAAACATAAATTCAAAATGTCATATACACTCTCTCTTATGTTATTTTGAAAATGAAATTTGAGAAATTTTTCAATTAAATTTATTTTGAGACAAAAGTATCACTTTTGTTCGCATTGGACTACCCAAACAATATTTCCATCATGCCCCTAGGTATTAGTCTGATTTAAATTTTCATGGTCGTCACTTTGAATTTTTATATGCTTCTCCATCATAGACATATCGCCTCAATTATTATTCCAGTTCGTAATAAGTTTTGCTTTGTATATGTTTTTATTGATTATTTGATTAAACAAATTATTCTTGTCGAAACTTATCTTATAAAACTTCTGATGTAGTTTTGAAATAATTAGTTTATAATTTATAGTTATATTGTAAATAAACTAATTTTAAAAGAGACGAAATCTTATTTGTTCGAAGTGAGACGACATTTTGGGATGAAGGTAGTAAATTTTTTTAATTTTGCAGGACAAACCGGCTAAGAAAATCAATTTTATATTAGTATTATGCAATGAATTTTTTAATTATATAATTACTAAATTTTTATAAAATACTTCCTTGGGCCCACGATTAAGGTCTCTTTTTTATGTTATGATGATTGACTGAAATTAAAGAGTAGTAATTTAAAAATTATATCAAATATTCTGTAAAATAATACTCTTTCCGCCCCAAAATGATGTACATATTTCACTATTCAAAAATCACGAGAACTTTTGTTTATTTGTGTGTTCATTGACTATTTAATGAACTAAAATATTCTTATCACATCTTTTTTTGTAGAACTTTTGATGTACTTTTTAAATATATATGTAAGTTTTATTTTTTATTTATATACCAATCTTTAAATAAAATGAATTGAAAAAATTTTAATTATACTTTGTTTTGTGTAAAGTATAAATGATACAGGGACGAAGGGAATAGGTAACATGAATATTCTATTTTAAAAAATAAGTAATGAAATTGAGTGAGGAAAGAAAACACTATTAAACGTCTAAATAAATAAGTAAATGTGACTATAGTTTTACGATTATGACGGAAAAGAGGTGACTATCAAGATTTGGGTTGGGTAAAAATACTTTCCAGACATTATTCTGAATCGAAACGACATGGTATTTGTAAAACAAATTGATTTTCAAATGTATTTAGTAAATTAAAATTGTCTATTTGTAAAATGATACGAGAGGAGTTTCTCAAAAAATGATCAGAACGAAAGATATCGAATTTTATTATTACCATTAAAATGTTAAATTAAATAATCAATTATACTAGTTATTTTCAGTGTTTCAAATCCTTAGTTGGTTATAGTGACTTTAACTCATTTTATTTTCAAAACGCTAACAAAGGGGCCTGGCACTCAATTTAGTGCATGTTTGGGAACAGCGTTAGCGTTTTGAAAAAGCTATCTACAGGTAGCGTTTAGCGTTAGTGTTTTCAAAGTGATCTGTACCGTTAAAATTTTATCCAAAACGCTAAGACATGACGTAGAAAGCTCACTAATCAGTCTAATCTAAGAAAATAAAAATTGATCGGTCGGTAGCACTGAGCCGTGAGTGTTTGACTGTTTGGCACTGCTCTTCGTCCGTCCGTACAGCCCCTCCACTAGTATGAATTAGAAACCTAGCGGCGGCCGCTTCCACACAGGCAGATGACTGCCGCATACTTCCGCACCGCTGCATTCTCTACGGTTCCATTTCCGGTGACTCGCATCCCTCCATTGCGCGTCTCTCTCTTGCGGTTAAAATCTCTCTCTCTCTCTCTCTTTGTATTCGATGTTTTCAATATCTTCTGAAGATTTTTTATTTTTAAAATTATTATCGCATCGTGTGGGTTTGAATTATGAGTTGTACGTATTTGTTCGTTTCAACACTTTCTATGTTGATTTTTCACAAGTTTGCGTTCACTTTTTTACCTGATTTATCTTGCCATCTACGTATTGCATTCTTAGTGCCAGTTCCCTGACCTCTTGATTTTTCAAGATCAAACTGATTATGGATGGATGGGTTAATTATGAAGTTCTTGACATATCATCATTAATAGCTTTTCGGTAGCTTCGATTAGAATGAATGTTTTGTTGTTGCTGTTTTTTTTTAAATTTCATTTAGTATGTAACTCTATAAAGGTATGTTTAGTGAAAGGAAAAACAGAATATTCCAGCCCAGGCAGCCCACTCTAATGTTGTTTGGCCTCTGTGATGCGGGGCGGGCATGGCCTGGACCAGGAATTTGGACGAAAATTGCCAATAGCTCCCTTCCTAGGTCGTATTTGTACATGTCTACTTATTTATTTGAGTAGTGTACAGGACCTCATATGCTGTATGTTTCTCCTATGCCACTTGTTTAAGTAATATATCACTCATGATCCCTCTTTGTGCAGGTTAATTAAATACTGTTTATGTTCTCTCTTGTGACGATGACCCGATCCCTTTTGGATAGTGCCAATGTATGGGGAGTTCACATTTTCAAACTGAAAGGCTGAAATCTGCACATTCTAAGGTTGTTGTTTTGGGGGTACTTTCTGGGGAGTGGACTTTGTTGGGTCTGACAGATACACATAAATCCACAACCCAAGTGAATGGATTCCCAAGTACCTTGCACTTTGATAAATGGGCCAAGACATCGACCTCTTACCCCATTTAGGGTTGTTAGAGGTATTATGTGTCTGGTCGTGTTAGTTCTGACAGCATTTACGTTGTTAGTGTTTTGTAGCTTTTGGGCAGCCATGTGCTTGAGATTCTTCAGTGTCCACTACAGCCGAACCACAACAGCCTTCTTTTTTGGGTCTTGGATAGCTCTATGGCCATTTTTATTTGAAAAGATAAACAAGACCAAAGTGGTTTTTTCTGGGGATTGTGTTCCTAGTAGGGAACGAGTGTTGCTCATTGCAAACCATAGAACAGAGGTTGATTGGATGTACCTGTGGGACCTGGCATTGCGGAAGGGATGTGTAGGTTCCATAAGGTATATACTCAAGAGCAGCTTGATGAGATTGCCTCTTTTTGGTTGGGTTTTTCATATCATGGAGTTCATACCCGTGGAGAGAAAGTGGGATGCTGATGAATTGAAGCTGAGGCAGATGCTCTCTTCCTACTCAGATCCTAAAGATCCTCTTTGGCTTGCTGTTTTTCCAGAAGGCACTGATTTCACGTATTATCATCTTGCCTCTTTCTCCACATTTCAAATTAATTAGATGCTTCTTACTTAATATATTTCATTTTCTCATTTTAAATAACTCCTTTCTTTTAAAGAAGAAAATTTTGATATTCCATCTGCCCCAAAAACAGAGTTATGTTTCATCAGAGTGCAACCCTTTTAAATTGAAATGGTACAACTCTTGTAAATCATCCATCCTAGGTATTTGTTTTAAAATTATCCTGTTTGTTAAACTAAAGGTAACATATTTAACTTATTTGGAATATTTTTTTAAAACGAATATATTAAATTTCAATTAAGATTAACCTCTTTCCTTGAATTAGAACACTTTATGGAACAAAAATAAGTTTTAAAATTTATTGCTATTTTGGTAGCATTTGGTATTTACGATTCATTAGGTGTTTCTTCTGAAATTGTAGTATGTGCTAATAATTGCTACTCTGTATTTTTTTGCAGAGAACAAAAGTGCAAACGCAGTCAAAAATATGCTTCTGAAAATGGATTACCAATCTTGAAGAATGTGTTGCTTCCAAAGACGAAAGGATTTTGTGCATGCTTAGAGGAGTTGAGAGGTTCTTTGGATGCTGGTAACTTTTCTCTCACTTTTTTATTAACTGCTGGTATTGTTTCCAATATTGGAGTTCTGCACACTAGAGATGGAGCTATGCAGTAAATAATACTCTATGCTATTCTATCATTTGTATTCACTATGCAGGTAAAAGATTAATAATATTGTGAAAGTTACTCTGAAAACATCTGTTAGTGAAGAAGTATTATAACAATGGTGTATGCATTCTAGCATGAAGCATTCAAATCCCTTCTTACTCCATATTAACTTTCCTCTAACTTTCATCAACACCTTCCATAAGGATATGATTGGATCCATGAAAATACTAGGGAAAGGAGAAAACAAAATGTTAATGGCTATTATTTTATTATTTCTGGTTTTACCATGGAAAACTAAAAAGAAAACTCATCGTGATCAATGTTTATTTTCCCATATTTTTAGATTTATTAATATTTATTTATGCTCTTACCAAGTATATGACCTTAGATAGGAAACTTTGGACAAATAGGAAACTTTGGACATCTAGGATTAGAGTAGTGGGGTAAACCTCTAGGCCCTAGTTTGTAGTTTATGCGGGTGCATTTTTACCTTAGTCTGTAGCTTGTGGGTCTAGTTGCTACTTGCTAGTGTTGGTTTATGTGCTTTATGTCTATGTGTCTGTTTTGAGCCGGTAGAAACAACCTCTTTACATCTGAGTAGGGGTAAGGTCAACATACACACCCTCCGCAGACTACTTTTTTTGCTGGATTTACTGGGTTTATTGCTGTTGTAAATTTAGACTTTGAGGAGTATCTCTTGTTTACCCCTATATATAATAATGTCTTTCCTTTGTGTATTAATCATTGACAATCCATTTTTTTTCTTGGAATGAAGCAGTGTATGATCTCACAATTGGATACAAGAACAACTGTCCTTCCTTCATGGACAATGCCTACGGAGTGGACCCCGCCGAAGTTCACATTCACATACGACGCATCAATCTCAATGACATTCCAGTTTCCGAAAGCGAGGCAGCCTCATGGTTGATGGACACATTCTGCCACAAGGACAAGCTTCTCTGTGATTTCTATTCCGAAGGCCATTTCCCATGCGAAGGAGGAATAGAAGGTGAACTCCCTACCTGCAAGTGTCTAGCAAACTTGGCATTCGTTATGTTCTTCACCAGTGCATGTACATTTCTAACCTTTGCATCTGTTTGGCTCAGAATATATGTCACCACTGTCTGTGTTTTGCTTACAACGGCAACTTATTTCAACTTTCGCCCTTCGCCTTTTGTGCGTTTAGGGTGAAAGCAAAGGAATAACACAGACAGTTTTGTTACTGCACTGATTGATGCAACCATTTTTTTTGGAGGAGGGAAAGAGTGCATATGTATTTATTAACTACCGTATTAGGCGTAATGCTAAACTTGACGTTATGTATCGATGGAGAAGGGGTTTACAAAGAGAATTATGAGTGTGTTTTGGATGAGTAAAATTTCACACCAATGGTCTGATGAGATGAATATGTTGCGGTTGTGGTTGAATCTTGAATGTGTTTTTTTTGTTTTTAAATACAAATTTTGTTTTAGGTCATTTTACATATGTGAATTCTTTTAAGTTATTAAATATTCCAGGCATTATTCCCTTGACTTATCATGGTATTTAATGTAATATTGTGAGTAATGTTTTTGTTTATATATAAATGTGTACTCCGTATATTTTAAAAACATTATATTTCAAAATTATGTTTCACAAAATAATTTATTAATACTAAATTTATATTACAATCTGATAAATTTTTTCCGTAATTTATACTCCGTAGTTAGTATTAAATTGTTGGCCAAGAAACTCAAAAATGAAAAGAAACAAAGTAGGAGGGAGTAACATATTAAACATATAATTAAAAAGTAAATTAGAAATATAAAACCCTAAAAATCACTCTCGGTTACGTAGGGTGTTAATAAATGATGAGTGCTTTTATGGTGCACCTTCAGTGCATATCATTTTTGTGAATCTTCTTACATAAAAAATCTTTTTTTTATTTTTTTATTAAAAAAATAAATGCTTATTTAAGTAGTAAGAAAATGCTTGTTTTATTTATATTCATATTCTATATGGTTCACCATAGAATATGCCATGAAATGATATTTCAACGGGCAATGTGTATCAAGAACATGGTACTGCTTGTTGACTTCCTTGATCTCCCAAAATCAAAGGGTAGAAAAAAGGCACATTCAAAGATGAAAATGGACTCCCCAACATGGTTTTACTGTGTGTCAATTGACTAAGCATATCATCATAGAACTTTGTGTGAAGTCAAAACTGTGGTTTTAAACTTTTAACCCACACTTAAGAGCACACCAAAGGTATGGGTTTGGCATTGGAGCTGCAGTTGAGATTTGTTATTTTAATTGCCAAACAAAGCACATAGAAATAAATAAATAAATAACAAACTTTTGTTTTTTCATAGAAAGATATTCCGTATGACATATGAATAAATACAATATCCTTATTTCATAATGTTAAGAAGAGAAATTGTCATGAGTCATGACACATACATGTTACAATAAAAAGATGATGAGGAAAAAACAATTGCAGCACTCTATCTGTACTATATGAGAAATCAAATCATGTGAATGAGATGATCCTTCTAATGGTTGGGTTGTTTGATGATTCTTTGCAATATGACAGTTCTAGCCCTCCTTATGTCCCTGCTACAAACATCAGCCTGCACCCCTAAATCTTCGACGTTCTTCATGAACACGTCCAGATTCTTCTTGATCTCTGTAACGCCGATCTTCACAGCCTCTTCGTTAATGGAGATGTCCACGTTGTTTAAGATCGATTCGATCTGAATCTCCAGCCTGTCGATCAGAACCCTAATGGTGTCCAAGTCCTTGATGGTGACATAGCTCCCCACTTGCATGGAGTTTATTATCTCCTTCTGCCCTTTGATGATGTCCTCGTAGTTCTTGAGGAAAGAGTCGATCCATTTACCCATCGAGCCGATGGGGATGGAAGAGGCTGCCGCCAGTGCAGCTGCCACCGGAGGTGCAGCTATGGCGGCAGCCACCACGGAGCAGATCAGAACAGCTGCAAGCGCTGCGGCAAAGATCATGCTCGACACCTTTCTCCATGCATGGATGTACTTTAGCTTCTTATCAAGCTTGTTCTTTTTCGACTGCAACTTCTCCAGCATCAGGACTTGATGCATATACACAGACTGGAAAATCTGGAAAAACTCTTCAGTGAATGGATTCCCAAAAGCTCTGAAGTTGTGCAGTTCCTCAAGAGTTTTCGTGTACTTGTTGTCTTTGTTATCCCCTTCACTCTCTTCCTGGAATTGCTGGAGGGCAACTTGGATCAATAGCTGGGAATCACGGGCCCGCTTGAGGCATTTCTCGAGGGAAACACAGAAATCTAGGGTTTTGAGGCTGTTCTCAAAGTACTCCTCAACCAGTTCAAACAATTCTTGATTCTTCCATATGTCCTTCTTGCATTGCAGGATCACTTTCACAACTTCTTGGTTCATGTCCAAAAGACATTCTGTGACTTCCTTCAGGGAATCAAAGGATAATGACCTAACCTCAACCCCTGCCGCAAGGGTACTAATCACCTGACTGGTTCGAGCCTGTAGGGTCAGATCAAAATTCTGCAAATCCGTGTCATCCCTGCACGCCGCTTCATATGAATTCATCAGCTCTGTTTTGTCCTGCAGAGTGTTTATTGCAGGTACCGAAGTTTCCTCATCGGGTTTTTTGCTAATCTGCCCTCCCATATCAATCTTCAAACAAGGCCAAAAAAGGGAGTGAAAGAAATCAATGATAGGACTCAGAGCAGACAATAAATGCTCATCAGATATGGAGCATACACATTTGTGTACCAACTAAATCAAGCATATGCTTCTATTGCCATTAATGGAAGAACCTGCAACAAATTGAGCAAAAGCTTCTAAAAACTCAAGCAATTAAAGCCTCAAATGACACAACAAGAACAAGCCTGGGTTTGGATGGGTGATTGCGATTTGAGAAAATAATAACCTTGAAGTTGGATTCAGAGTATAAGAAACATCTAATGGTGGTGATGTTCAGAGAACAAAATTTTAAAAAAAAGGGTTTGGCCGATTGAGAAGGCATTTCATCGAATAGCTTGCACGCAAGAAATTCAAGAATGTGAATGAAGTTGACGAAAGAAGGAAGCAACCCCTTCCTAATCTCTCCTTCCTTATTGCAATAATTTCGTCAAGTCTCAATGTCTATCCAAACCCGCCATTGACAAATCACATAAAGTTCATAAATTGTTGTTTTCTTTTAAACTCTACTCCAATAAAAAATCAACTTTAACGTCACTATCTAAATCATTCCCTGTCCTGCTGTCATATCTGAGCATAATCGTAAGGGTGAAAGTGAAATTGAACTTCAAAAAGGAGAATCGGACAAGAATGTCAGGCTGCAACTTACATGTTCAGATCAAATCGAGTGAAATTCCTCAGCAATCTGCGAGTTGTTGTAAAGATTCAAGAAAAAGGAGGAAGAAGGATTGATTGATTGATTAGCTCGCAGATTTGGGTTTCTGGGGAGTGGGCAAATCATAGATTTATAGTGTGAATGTGGGGATTAGTATGCGATAAGTCTGGGCTTCGCCGGAGACTTGCAAGTGAAGCAATTCATTTTGGGGCATTTTATTCGGAAAATTAACTGAAACTTCTCCGGAGTAAATGTTAATGTTAGCTGTGTATGTGTTGTGGATGGGTTCTCCTCTCTTTCTTATCTCTTTCATTGTTTTCCCATTCACACCCCCTTTTCATAAACATTCTATTTTAACAAAAATGAAATTGTGTGAAAAGTAATTAAAAAAAGAGTAAATTTATACCTAAATTTTTAGTTATTCTTTTACTTTGATAGCTAAATATCATTTTCTTTCACTAAAATACTTGAATTTTGAAAAAAAAAATTGACGAAAATTACCTGAAACCGATTTTCATGTAATCATCAATTCTCTTTGGACCAAATTATAATTTTATACTCCCTCCGTCCTATATCTTTCTTCTCGTTGCGCAAAACGAAGAAAAATCCCAAGTTTTTTCAATTTATTTTATTTAAATATTGATATAGAAATAAAAAATAAAACATACATATTAAAAACTACATCAAAAGTTCAACAAAACAAGTGGTGATAAGAATATTTTATTTTATAATATAGGCCATGAAAAAATACAAATAAATATAAATTCCCGTAAAATTGGAATAGTGCTCTGAGAAGAAAGTTTTAGGGCGGATGGAGTATATTTTTAACTATTTAATTTGACCCTCACTTCTTTTGCTTCTTCTCCCACTCTCACCACCCTCTTTTTCTTCTTCTTTCCATTAGCCCCCACCTCCTTCCCTTGCACTCTTTTTTTTCAGCACTCTCATTTCTTCTTGAGCCCCCTCTTTTTTGTTTAATTTATTACTTCTTTTTTTAAGTTTTTTTGTTTCATATTTTTCGATCTTATTTTGTTTTGTTTTTGATCTTTTTCTTGATATTTTATTATTATGAATTTGTTTGGTTATGATTTAATTTGTGATTTTTTTTGTAAGTTTTTTTATTATTTCTGTTAATAACTTGCTCATTTTTTGTTTGCTTTACTCTTTTATTTTTATATTATTTTTTATTTTATTTATTGTTTTTTTGTTTATTTTTATATATTTTATTTTTTCATAAAAATGAATTAAGAAATTATTTGAAATTTAGATTTATGTTTTTGGGTTGTTCTCTTTATGTGTAAATTGTTCTTAGTTCAATTATTTTAATTTAATTATTAATTTGTATTATTTTATTGGTCATTTCAATTAAACAAGAATGATATATTTTTATGTTTTTTGGTTATCTTATTTTTTGTTTGTTATCGTGTTTTTAAACAATAAAATGAAAGTAATTAAATAAATAAGCCAAAATAAATGAAAAGATGAGAACTAGAAACAAACACCATAATTTTCAACAAATAATAATAAAATAAAAATAACTATTTAATCTTTTTTAGTTTTCTTTTTGTTGTATTAGAAAATGACTTATCATTTTTTTATTTTTATATATTTTTTAAAAAAGGTAAAAAATTAATTCAAACTTGGATTCATTCTTTTTTGTGTGTACCACTATCTCTTTTTTTGTTTAACTTATTCTTAGTTTGGTTTGTTTTGTATTATGAAGTAATAATTAGTGTTATTTTATTTAAAATTTTAATTAATCATAAAATGGTATTTTATGTATTATTTTTTGTTTTTTTGATATTTTATTTTGTTTTTTTCAATTTTTATGTTTTTATTTGGGGCTTATTTTATTCACTTGTTTTGTTTAATTTTTTACAATAAAGAAAAAAACAAACAAAAAAAGTTAACAAATAAAAAAGTTAAAATAAAACAAACAAAAGGTTAAGATGAATGGTTTGTTTTTTTATTTAGTTAAAGTGATTAGATAAAAAATAACACAGCTATTAACTTATGAGATAAAGGAAACAAATCATAATTTTTGTGAAAATTTAGGTACCACTATTGAAATTTACTAGACCACCATAACATAAACTAATTATTTCTATCTTTAAATAAAATGAGACATTTTTAGAAAATAGGGGAAAATTAGTCATTTCTATCTTTAGATGGAATGCAACATTTTATTTTACGACATCTAGATAATTAAAGCTGGATACCGAGTATTTATTTAGGGATGGAGGATTACAATGAAATTTTATTTTGAATAATTGAAAAAAGAATGTAATATTTTTTTATCAGATAGAACTACAAATTATAAACTCTTCCATCCTAAAATTTCACACGCTCTTTACAATTTATACACTCTCTTTTAATAAATTATAATCACACGTTCTTCACTTTTTAATACTTTTTTTAAACATCCAAAGAGTTAAATTAAATTTTTTTTTACAAGATGCAGGGAGAATTTTTTAAAGTTCTATTTATCTGCCATTTGTGCATCTCAATCGTTGAAATGATCAACATCTTTTCACAAAGAGTTGAGTAGATTTTTTGGAAGGATAAAAAAAGAATAACGATTCATATTATGTCATTTACTCCAGAATTTTTACTCGGTAACATTTTTGTATAAAAAATCAACAAAATAAAATGTATCCAAATAACATTGGTACTCGTAATCTATTAGGATCAAATAGTCAACAAAAATATACTCCATATGAGTGTGGTAAGCAAATATTTACTACCATGATAAATATATATTTTTTTTTGCATATTGCTTTGCAAAAAAATACTTATCAGGGTAATAAGTTTGACTTTTACATGTATGAAATGTTAGGGAGCTACAATCTACAACATGGAAGGGCAAAATATTGGTCTGGCACCAGCGTATATAATCCCAGCATCATCTGCACATCGATCAATCATTTCCAAAACAAGTCATTTTCATCACTGAATTATTATTATTAATTTATTATTATTTTTATTTATTATTAATACTATTTTATATTACTATTTACAGCGTGAAACTTCATACGCATGCATACCTGCAAGCTTGGATAATGAGTACTCCGCAGGCACATTGGCATCCACTTCTACAGCAGCTTTAGCTGCTGCAATCCCAACAGCTAAACTCTGCATGAAATCCAAACCAGCACACCAAGATGCCAGGGTCCCACCCACCAAGCAATCGCCCGCCCCTGTGAGTCTGGCAACTGATGTCGAAGACATTGCAGGAAAATGCACAGCAAAGAAATCTGACTTCAATTCGCGTTTAAAGAAACTGTTAAAGGCATGATTTTGAGGGCACTTTGATGTCACGGCTTCAAATAATTCTTTTCTAAAGGACGGAGGGTGTCTTTTCCCAATGAAAATGACATGTTTCTTGATGGTAACCATTTCCTGGAAGCATAAGAATGCCCCATTGGATCCGATGGTCACGATTAATACTTTGACGCCTTTGTCCAGGAGGACTGAAATTGCAGGTTTTAGCCTTTGAAACATAGCTTCTAAGGATAGCTTTAGGCAGCCATTAGATTTTTCCAAGGGATGGAATACATCAGCCCCTGACACTGCATTTCCCATGGCTATGAGTTCATCCTCATTGGGTGATGCAAATGTAATCTGCAAAACAAACAAAAAGTGACATGCGAATATGCCATCACCATAGGTTTTGCTTTTACCCCTGCTATGCAAAATTCATGAGACATGGTTTACGACTTCAGGGTCTTACTGAGGATATGACCTTAGATAGGGACGCATGAAGATCTAAGATTAAAGTAGTTCGGTAGATCTTTGTGCATTAAATACTATGATAAACTAATACTCAAAAATATATACTCCAGGTAGATAAAACAGAAGATGGAGACAATCAACCAAACCATCATAGATGCACAAAGTTTTTTTGGTACTCACATAATTGACAATTGAAGCTATTCTTCTAGATTTCAACACCGAGACGGGCTCAAACCACACTGGAGTGTTACCTTCAGCTGCAACTGAAAGACATAAGTTCCAATTAACCTCTGACCTGAAAGAACTTACTTTGCTTCTTCCACAATAAATAGATAGAGAAAAGAAACACAGGCCGAATGAGAAAACATACTTCGACAAGATGCTTGCAGAACAGAAGGATTCAAGTTTGCATCTAGCAGCAAAACTGGGGCAGACAGAATACTGTATTTGAAGTTATGTATCCACGTGGTCGTAAGAAATTTCTCCTGTTTTCTTAGTTTCAGGATGAGTGAAATATGTACGAATTTATACATACTTTTGAATAAGCAGAATCTTTTGTGAGGAAGCAACTTACAACGGCCTCAACGTTAGCAACACCTGCTGCCACTTCTCCTTTACTATCATATATGTGACAAACTGTCGCAGTCTCAATAATATGATGTCTACGAATACCTTTAAAAAAAATTGACAGCATTAAATGAAGGTAAATGAGACGGATTAGCTCATGTTGCATTAAGGTAATCCACAAGTATTCCCATTTTCTACTTTATTCTATCAAAGTTCAATACCCTGATGTCCCTTTTACCCCCCCTCAGTGTGTGCCAATTATGGTCTCCCTGGGCTTTGTAAAAAAATCTTCAATGTTCTATAACTTCACTCATATTAAACATTGGTAGTCAATATGTATATGCAAAATACTCCCTCCGTTCACCAAAACGATTCCTATTTTGACTAATGTGAGAAATAAGGAGTGTATATATGTAGTTGACTTTCCAATTTTGCCCTTGATGTGATGGGTAAAAGTAAGATGTGATGGATAGATTATTAATGAAAAAGTGTGATGTGATAGGTAGGGTAAGAAAAAGTAGGGGTCAAAGTGGTTTTTTAATAGAAACTAAAAGTGTTTTGATGAAAGAAAAAAATGAAAAAAGAAGTGTTTTGGTAAACGGAGGGAGTAACAATTATAAATCTTTAGTTAATAAAATGCCCTTCCTAGTTTTTCAACCCTTGCATCTCCAAGATGATTTTCTTCTTTTCACATAATTTATAGGAATCTTTTTCTTTATATTTTAACATTTTGTTTTATTTCCCCCAACATATTTAGTTTTGTTTCAAGAATTTTACACTTGCCGATTTTAGCTTGTGAGTTTGATAAGCTCTAGCTTTTGATTCCTTTTATAAAAAACCAAGTGGAACCTCTAATTCAGAGAGTAGCTCATGCAAGCATAATCTAATATATCCCCCCCCCCCGGCTCATATAATTGAGAGTAGCCCTTGCAAGCATAATCTAATATATTTGAATCCTTAAATCTATTAGATTTTGTGGTCTCAACATGATACCATTAAACAATCAAGATTTAAAATCCATGTTTTGGGTATTTTATTTTCTTCAAAAGCACTTTGTAATAATTAGTTTATTGGTTTTATAAGCTGAGGCTGTTGTCTGAATTTTGACCGATGTTTTGACGATTTCCATTTGAACTTTAGAATGGAACCTATTTATCTGAGTCGGGACCAAATGTTCTTTTAGAGTTACTCTGCCAGTATCATTCAGGTTATTATTTATTATTGAATGCAAATTATGATATCTTATCACGCAAAGTTCCTATGATGCTCTTGAATATGAGATAAACAAACCAAATGACATGTAAGAAGCGTCTTACAAGAGTTAAATCATGTTGACATCAGGAGAATAAGAGAGTACTAATTCATTTAGGCTGCCTCAGAAGACCCATATAAATAGCGTGTTGTGTGTGATTATGTAAATTTTTTTATTTACTCCGTCCTTTTTTGACTTTACGGAATTTAAGCAAAGTGTGGCTAGAACTTGTTCAAAAGGGAGAGAATCGTTGTATGCCACACATTCTTTTCTTCAAAAGGGAGTGAGGGAGGTGTGAAGTTTATCCTCGGACATCCTAAAAAGAAAGTGTGAAGTTTATTTTGGGACATCCTAAAAAAGAAAGTGTGAATTTAATTCGAGGACACTGGAAGTATTGAATATGATGTGATTAAATCAACGAATTGGAAGTAACGAAAAATATTTAAGAATCTACCTTCGATAGATAACCCTGCAGATTTCCAGTGTTCCAATAGCAAATTTCCTATCAAACGAGGAAAAAACTTTTAAAATATTACTCCGTACTCTTATGTCCCATATTTACTGAAAAACAATATAGTTAACTAAAAATAATTGCCCTGTCAGAGGCAAAGTTGAACATGCTACTTTGATGAGGGTAATACAGCATTTTCATGTTAAAAAGTAACAGAAACCTCTTAGGATCTTGCTCAGTTACAAACACTTTTAGTTTAAACCTTTCTTTACCCGATTCATGTAAAATAGTACTCATACTCATCACCTGCCATGTCAACTCCCACAGCACTTATTAGGTTTGGCTTTGCTCCAAGCTTTGACATGCATTCAGCTATATTCCTTGCAACACCACCTAATGTATAGATAATCTGCATGCCAAGGCTGAGAATTATATCTTGGCATATAAGTTACGAAGGTTATGTGGACATACTGTGACAACAACAACAAAAACCTACCCAGTTATATTCCGCAAGTCGGGTCTTGGGGGGGGG